TGTTTTGTTCACAGCTGTATCTCTACTGTTCTAGAACAGTACCTGGTATTCAGTAAACGTTTGTTGAATAAACGGAAAGTAATGAATAGTCTCCCGGACCTTTGGTAGAGTTGTTTAGAAGGTTTCCTTTTCCTGATTTATCCCGTGTTTTGCTCTATAAAGCTCTTCTAGGGCATCACTTACACACACACACATATACCACCCCTCAAAAAAAAACACTGGTTTATTTTAGGCAACTCAAGTATATGTATTACTAGAAAAATCATGTATTATACTTAAATTTCCCACTGACATTAAGAACAATTATTATATTTTCCATTATTACAAGTTATAAAAAGCTGCAAATTATATTTTAATAAAATTTTCAGGTTGGCATTTCAAAGTTTCAGTGACAAACATAATGAATTGTTAAAGTCTCAATTTGAGATGGACATTGTAGCTCATTCTGTTAGCAAAAAAGCTAAAAGCAATTTTTCTTCCAAGCCCCATAATACTTTCCAGAACATATTACAGTTCTAAAGGTCACTTAAAATAAGCTGTAAATGTCACTTAAAGTAAAACAATGCCACTGAAAATAAAATACCAGATTTAAGCATCATCAATCAGATTATATAATCTTTTTATTTTACCTATATTACAACATCAGAGGTGATATGGGGGTAGAGGAGCAAAAAATGTCTCAGGTTAGGGTTGATTATAACATACACAGCCTTTATCCTTTTTCTTTTCAAATAAAAGAAATATGGTCTAGTAATTTTGACTCAAATATGATTAATTTGAAAGGGCATGTTCTCAGCAAAATTCTATGGCAATTTATATGTAGTGAAGTCTGGATTATGGTGTCACAGATCAATGATCTGTGCTATATTTAACAAATACAACATACCACTTATTTATTTGGCCCTGGATAATATGGTGCAATTCCAAATGAAAGGAAGCTGTAATTGAAAAGTACAGAGCAACCAAAAAAATGAAATAAATCTACAATGCCCTCTGTTGATGAAATATGTGACTAGAGAATGCATGATCAGAAAGAAAAAATTCAGCATATGTTTCTTAGTTCATTTTTGTTTAGTTTCTCTAAAATATGTCCTAATTGAATTTCATAAAATAAATGTTTTATGTTCTTCTGTTTTTACAGCAATCAGCACAAAATTATGTCAGTTAATAGGAAAAAGTATCAACATATAAATGGTTAGTGCAGTAGGCCCAGTCACATGGCCTTGAATAGGTGTGATCTACTCGGAACTTGTTCTCGAAGAACAACAATTGGAAGGGAAGGACCATTTTTAGACAACTTCAATTAAAGCAAGGTGGAAGATGTAGATGGGTGGAATTCTGAACAAGCCAGATTGCTGTCTTCCCCCCCTCGTTTTCCCTAATCTTCAAATATCAGCCAAGTCCTTACAAATGATGGAGTTCATGTGTGTCTTATGGGTGCAAGGATGGTTGGTATCATGAGACAAATTCTAAATCCCCTCCTCTAGAAGATGTCACAGAGATTGATAGACATCCTTCAATAATTCCTCATCCTCTCTTTCTCAGTAGCATAACCATAAATTTTGATTGGGCTTATCAGTACCCAGAATAAATACTATATTTCTTGGCCTCCTTTGCAGCTAGATTTGGCCATGTATCTACATTCTGGCCAGTAAAATGAAAGTGGTAGTATCATGTGCAACTTTGGGGAAATGTCCTTAAAAGAAAGGAGGCACGTCCTTCTTCACGTTTTCCACCAGCCTGGTAACAGAACAGTTCAGCAACAACTTGGACCATGAGGAGGAAGATGTATGTTGAAGATGACAAAGCAACAGAGTATAACAAACCAGGGTTCCCAATACGTTTATGAATCTCCCGTGCCCACACTGAATTGCTTGTCTTTTAATCAACTCTTTTTGTTTAAGTTATTGTTGCAGTGAAATATTATTCAGCTTTAAAAGGAAGGAAATTCTGACAAGGGCTACAACATGGATGAACCTTGAAGACATTATGCTAAGTGAAATAAACCAGTCACAACACAACAAGTATTGTGTAATTCCACTTATATAAGGTACATAGTATAGTCAAATTCATAGAGACAGAGAGTAGAATGGTGGTTTCCAGGGCATGTGTGGAGGGGAAAATAGGAAGCTAGTGTTTAATGAGTACAGATTTTCAGTTGGGAAAGATGAAAAAGTTTTGGAGATTGATGGTGGTGATGGTTGCACAACAATGTGAATGTACCTACTGCCACAGAACTGTACACTTAAAATTGGTTAAAATGTTAAGTTCTATGTTTTATATACTTTATGCCAATTTTTAAAAAGCCAGAAAAAGTCACTGTTAACAACAGTCAAAGAGCATGATGAGAATATTTTCCAAAATCTTTGAGGTGCTCCCTTGGATACCAGTAAGATCAAAATTCAAAATTCTATTGTTAGAGACAATGTTACTGGGCTTCAGTCAATTTTATTTGAAGAAATAAGAAATTAAATGTTAAGATAACCACAATTACCTGCCAAAGGAACTGTTATCACCCAACTATTAAATATTTAAATCCTTCAATGCTCTATTCTTACTTCTCTTTCAGTTTGTACGCCCTACACTGACATGAGGGAATTTCTTACACATCTAGAGCTTCAATTGTCATTTATATGCAGATGCCTCCCAAATGTATGTTTTCACTTATTTCCCTGAGATCAATTATTTTACGTTTCAAAGTCTCCTCAAACTCAACATGTCCAACACCAAATTCATGATCAGCATCCCCATACTTGGTTATTTCCCATCCATTCAATTGAGTAGGCCATAAAGCCAGGACCTTCAGTCTCCTTTACATCTCATATCCTATTATAAGCTCCTGTGCCATCATGTACTTCTTGTTATCACTTATCTCATTAATACTTTTACAGGATTTCTGTGAGTATTTGATTGATTAATGTCTATCTCTCACACTAGAGTGCACATTCCAGGTGAGCAGAGACTTTATTTTTGCTCAAAGTCATATTCCCAGAATACAGCACAGTGCCCACCCTTTATGTGGGTGTTTAATAAATACGTGTTAAATAAATCTTTAAGCTCTGAACTCATAATTGGGAAATAAGTTTGACATGAAAACTGTATAAATGTAATTCCTCTCCTTCCTGTCTACATGAAGATTTGAGTTATTCCCCAAGCAGGGTTAGTGGATTACACTTTGACACTCATCTTGAGATCACTCTGGCTATTGCTTTTAATTCTGTGTTTTAGTTCAGTGCCATTTTGTACATTTACCTGAATTTCTTGAATGCTTCTAACTTGTCTAGTACAATGATTCCTGTATCTATCCCCTCTCACTATCTAATCCAAATATACTGTTCAATTCCTTGGGTGGAGAATAGTATATACTTGAGGCTCACAAGTGTAGGTAGAGGTCCTGGGGAAGGGGATGAGGGTAAGGGAATGGGAGAGTTTATCTCAGGACTCAAACTCTGTGGGTTCAAGTCGTGGTTTTGCTGCTAGTTTCAAATGAGTTTACTTAACATCTGAATCTGTTTCTGCATTTCCAAAAGTAGACACAGTATTAAAAATACCTATAGCACAAAATTATTGTGAGAACTATGTGGAGGAATGACCCTGGAATTACTTTTTAAACTGTACAGTGACACAAATGTACATTAACTATCCCAGTGTGAATAGGGTTGGAGTGAATCCTAAAATAGCAGCAGGGATAGGGAGGAGGTATTTGGCCAAGACTCACAATTTGCAGGTAACTACTTTTACAGCATTTCTACTTCGTTTTTTTGTTTTGTTTTGTTTTGTTTTTTTGCAGTACGCAGGCTCAGCGGCCATGGCTCATGGGCCCAGCCGCTCCGCGGCATGTGGGATCTTCCCGGAGCGGGGCGCGAACCCGCGTCCCCTGCATCGGCAGGCGGACTCTCAACCCCTGCGCCACCAGGGAAGCCCTAATTCGTTTTTGGACTTGTTTTTGAAATGAATAATGGAGTGGTTGCAGCAAAGATAAATTTATCTTAACAAAAAAAAAAGGGGGGGAACATTTTTAAAATATAGTATTTAACCAGTCAATTTAGAGTCTGTACTTCTACCATGTTTCAGCTTCCCGAAAACCCCAAACTCTCCCATCGTCTCTAACTCTGTAACCAGGTGGGTGGTTAGTAGGCACTGCCTGGTTTCCTGAAAGCCGGTGTTATGCCATCAGGTAGTGAGTAGCACCCCGCTGCGTGTGCTTAATTGTGAGGTCGCAAGCTCACTCCAGTATATAAGGCTGGACGCTGCCGCGCGTCCCAGTTGCATCAGGCGGTGTGGCGCGCTTAGCGTACTGGTCAGCGGCTTCCGTGGTCTGGGCAGCTAGCAGCCCCCTGTTTCCCAGGTGCCAGCTGAGTGCTTCGTTGCCCGCGAAGTGAAGAGGCCGTAGAGGAGCCATGAGCCTCCTGTTCCTGCTAGTGAGCTGCGTTCTGTTCGCCTTCAAGTTTGTCTTCTGGAAAACCCTGTTTCAGATAAAATGTACAAGAGCAATTGGAATTGATGAAGCTCGATGAATACATGGACTGGGGAGGGACCGTGTTTAAGAGAGTAGAAAGATAGTAAAATAAGAGTAAGGGGGAGGTCACCTCATTCCTTTTTCTTTTGAAAGGGCCCCAGATGTTGACTCTTTACCCACACACTTCTCTCATATTGACCAGTGGTTCCACAGGTGAAGTATGTTATAAAAAGCCCCAAGTCACTAAGTGATATGGTCAGCTTTTCACCCACTTGAAAAGTACAGCAGAAAGCACCCACTCCCCAGCACCACCTCCCATTTTAAGAATCTGTACTTTCTCTCTTCTTTGGCTTCTACTGCCACGTGTTTCTGTTTGCCTCTTCCTCCCTTGTATTTGCCTTTTCAGCCATCTTTATAAGAGCTTTTTGGGGCATTCACAAGTAATTAAGGTCAAAATGTGGGTTTCCTGGTAATATTTAAAGTTCCAAGTGAGGTGCCTTTAGACAGGAATCAGACAGGATCCAAGTATAGACCTACTGGAATGCCCAAGAAATGTAAGCCAAGGGTATGGCATTTGGGCATTAAAAGGCTACTTTAATTTTTTTTTTTTCTCAGTCTGTGTTTGGGAAGGGCATATTTCCAAATCAGTGTATTCATTCAACAGATTTTTAATCTTGGGGATGGACAATCAGTTCATTTTTGTAGACCAAGACTAAGGATGTTATTTGGCGGTATTTGGATATTAATAAACTACATATGTATAATTTCCTTCCCTTACAGAGAAACACTGGTGAAATGTCATCAAATCGACTTCTCTTGCACTGGTGAGATCATCCTCTTCTACTCAGTCAGCTAAGAGCAATACTGATAAGTGTCTTTCAGTCAACAGTCAATGGGATATTAATCTCCAAGACTCGATAGCCATGCAGAGGAAAATATTTGTAAACCTCAGCATCATGGAATACAATCTGGCTGAATTGGAACGATTCCTAGTTACTAAGGGTTTAAATCGTGCAGTAAGTTAACCGGAAATCCACTAACAAGCATACAGAATGAAATGACACTGGAGGCAATCATTAAAGGCACTTTGAGTGGATTCATTTGATTATATGTGTTTATACCAAATGAATTATTATTTAAAAGGAGAGGGGAGCGCTTCTCTGGTGGCGCAGTGGTTGAGAGTCCGCCTGCCAATGCAGGGGACAGGGGTTCATGCCCCGGTCCGGGAAGATCCCACATGCCGCGGAGCGGCTGGGCCCGTGAGCCATGGACGCTGAGCCTGCGCGTCCGGAGCCTGTGCTCCGCAACGGGAGAGGCCGCAACAGTGAGAGGCCCGCGTACCGGAAAAGAAAAAGGGGGGAGGGGATGCCAAGTCAGATACAAACTTCAGACATTTGTCAGTTTGCTCACTCACATTTAAAGAATTGATTATGTTTCTAATATATATTTCACTGGGAAAGGAATGAAAGCACAATAGAAAAAGAAACAGTTCGAGTTGTTTTCTTTTTAATAAGCTACACTAAAAAGAATATTGAGATACAGTGATTTTAATTTCACTCAGGTGTGAAAAACAGTTTTTTCTAATGGTTTACAATACAATACTGTGAATGTCTCCAAGTTTGCATTAAAGTAAATGGGATTTGATGGAACTCTTTCCATTATGCAGAATAGTCTTTCTTACCACTGTTGAATCTGTGTAATAATAATACTAAGAGCTATCATTGAACACCCTACAATGTGCCAGGCACTCTGTTAAGATCTGTACTTTACACGATTGTAAAGATAGTCACAGAAACTCTTAACTACTCTTTGTAGTCAGCTCTTGAAGTGGACTTCTTTTCCAGTACCCCCACTACCACCAATTAGATATTATCAGTATTTCATTAGAAGTGTGCCTAAATCTTCCCTGAACTACAAGAGTCACCGTAGAAAATTGCATGCATTTTTTTATTTGGTGAAAAATCCACACCTCAAATAACACCAAAATATAAGGGTAGAATGCATGTAATATAATATGGATTGAAGTTAACGTCTAAGCTGTAGTTATCTATTTCAAATAGTATTTTATAAAATCCAGTATAATTGAGGAATTAACAATCTGTTGACATTCACTAACAGCATTTGATCTACGCTCAAAGGAAACCCTCAAAATATCTAACACAAGTTCATCTTATATATGTACATAATTCACTGAGGTTGTTCAGTTACAGGCCTACCTATTTACCTACCTTCATGCCCCCTCCCCCCAAAATAAGTTACCAGTGTAAATTAAAGAAACACCTTAATCCGTTCCTCCTTTAATCTTCAATCAAAAGGAAGAGGAAAAGGAATTTAAAATGTATAAGAAATTAAGGCTTAAAATTATTCTTTTATTCCTCATTTGACAAGAACAAAAAGCCAGCAGTAGTATATGTGGTTCTTAAACTTTTCTGAGCCACAGATCACTTTTGATATTCTGGTGAAAACTATGTACTCTCACCCTAGAAAAATGCATACACACATACACGTAGAAAAATATTACATGTAATTTCAGCTTCATACATTCTCTGAAGCCCAGGTTAAGAACCTTAAGAATAAGTGAAAAGTTTCTTACATAGTTAGGTAATGTTCACCATCCTAGGCTGTGATAGTAAACCAGTTGTCAGTGATATATAATCAACGTATAAACCTATTAGTGGATGGATCTAGAGACTGTCATACAGAGTGAAGTAAGTCAGAAAGAGAAAAGCAAATATCGTATATTAATGCATATATGTGGAACCTAGAAAAACCTAGACACAGATGTGGAGGACAAACATATGTACACCGAGAGGGGAAAGTGTGGGGGTGGTGGTGGGATGAATTGTGAGACTGGGATTGACATGTATACACTAATATGTATAAAATGGATAACTAATAAGAACCTGCTGTATAAAAATTAAATTAAATTTTTAAAAAGTGGATGGAGAACTTAGAACTCCCATGAGTTGTCAAAAAAAATCTATTAGTGATATAATATGTTTTCATTATCTTTTGTAAGCAAACTGGGACATAGGACTTTCTAATTTGGCTGCCCTCATTCTTGACAAGTTTCACACGTTTATCTTCTGTAAGTATGTAAATAAGTTACCACCCATAAGTAGTAACTTATTCAGATAAGACAAAATCATTCTACTTGATCTATTAACTAGAAGTAATCAAAGCTTCTGGATTCCATTTTCTAGATTTATCACTTACTGGCCATGGGATCCTTAGTTTTCTGTCTTACTTCACTATTTGTAAACAAAGAATGTAACCACTAAGTTCACCTAGAAAAAGTGAGCCATGAATACATGAAGTTTTTAGACATATGAACCAAAAGTATTAAGCTACAGTCATCATATTATATACACAGTCCATTTTTTCATATATATGGCATTTCTAATTAAGTGAGGCTTTCAATTTTAACACTGTCTTTTAAACATATTGATTTATTTTCCCCAGCTTTATGGAAAGGAAGGATTATGTACTAAGAAAACGTAAGCAAAATTTAAAAACTTGTATAATAGAAAATGTAACTATTTTCTAAATAACCAGTTCAAAATAAAGCCTTCAATATACTAGAAAAATATTATTTTTAATATTTTATTGTGAAATAGAGGCAGCTATGTGTGTGTTAAGATAATCTTAAAAGAAATATAATAATCACATTGCTAAACATTAGTAGATTCACATTTTTATATTACATTCCTGCTTAAATGGGAAAAAAAGCTCATCATACTATTATGAACCTAGTATATATGTTTTTCTACTCAACATTCAAATAAATAAAAATTTCCTCTATTCTAAAATAATCACATTACACAACCACATATTTTTAAAAACTAGATCTCATTCTGGTTTTCTACTGCCACTAACAGTAGGTATTTCATGGTCAGTCTCTTTTTTAGGATCTACCATATTTTTATATCTTTCCCCACGATGTCTTTCCAGGTATGGCCCCCAGTTAGAAGCTGGTCTGCAGCAGCTTACAATGCGCTGAAAAGCAAAGAAAAAAAATGAAAATTTTAGAGTGTTAAGTCTCCTTGCTAACCAAAATGAAATAAGAACCATAGAAAAGTAAAAAATGATCATCTAAATTCTTAATATACTGTCTACCAAAAAAAAAATGATACTCAAATGTAACCAATTGTTAACAGAATTGTATTAACTACAAAGCCAAAATAATTGAGTATGTAAATGATTTCAAAAGAAAGTGTTTCGTGAACCCATTCAAGCAACAATATCACTTCATATACTTTCACTGAATTCTCAGACATTTCTATCCTGGCCTTAGGGTGAGGGTTAAGTGAGGATCTAAACCAGGTATGCCTGGGAAGTTTCAATAACCAAAGAAAGGGTCAAACCATTGATCTAGAGCCACAAAGCACTCACCTAGATCTTGAACCCAATCTGCCTGCTGAGCCTACCTTGTCATTGTCCTATTGAGATGTCATAATCAACTCCCCTGGGCCTCCATGGAAGAGGGATAATTCAGGGTCTAGACTGAGTTCAAGAAATTTACCAGAGTTTTTCCAGTTTTAACATGCTATTACAGTATGTATTATAACCACATGAAGTTTTAAAGGTGAAAATTATAGATATAAAGGAAAAAGGTCATTTGCTTTGTGTCATCTCAGTAGAACTCAGTACGGGTATAGATACCATAACTTTTAAAGTATAAATAATATTAACATGCTTACTTGAAGGATGGTTCCTTCAGCTTGAATTAATTTTGTAATAGCCATAATTGGAATCCAAATAATACAGAAAATAATCATACACCAGCCTAGAGCAACTCCCCAGTCAGGGTATGGAATTTTGCCATAATCAGGTCTATGAAATTGTACCAATGACCAGATCAAGATTGCCTGCGAAAGTAAAATATGAAAAGAAAATGGTAAAGATTAAACTTTATTGCACTAATGATTTCATTTGCACTAAGTATTAGCAATTTGATTCCATTCCTTAGAAATAACTTATCAAAAGCAATTAAAATGAAAATACATTCAAGCCAACTAAGATAATCAGGTAACTAGCCAGAAGATAAAATACTAAATGAACGAATCTAAATAACTTGTATTTGGCTCTGAATAGATTCTTCCAAAATTAGCACTTCCATATACTTATAAAAGATACAAATACTTGTACAACATGTATTTCAATAAAATACTGAAATACAACATTTATTTCACTTATAATAGCATGGTTTTATTCTGTTCTATAAGCTAGCCAGCATATCAATCAATTCAATGAGAATGTAAAGTACACTTTAGTGAACATGCTTTGCACCTTGCTTAGCAGTTGTTTCTATTATTTTCCACTACACAGAGCACCCCTTACTCCACACCCAAAACACACACGCATTCACACATTGGTACATAATTACCAAAGCACCCTTCACTTTCTTATTGAGAAAAAACAAGCTCAATATATGTTTGGGCAAAACAGTGACTCTTCAAGATGAAAACTAAGGCCAAGTTTTTTAAAAAGTATTTTAAAAACAACCTACTAGAATGTTGCAGCATTAAAACTAATTATTTAGAAATCTGTAAAGCAAACAAAACAAAATGAGCAAAAACTAAAAGACCATCTAGTAGTTCCTCTAAATTTACCTGTCTTGAATTTTATAGATATTCAAGTTTAATTTTAGAATTAAATAGATTAATTTCTTTCATTTCATTACAGTAATTTAAGTTTATTTCACAATTACCATAATTTTACGTAACTACAAGAGAATGGCTGAGGGTTAGTGGAATCTAGATGATAATGTATATCATTTAATATCTAATACTTTTGCATTTTAAAGTAAATCCAGTTGTCAAACCTAGTAATCAGTGAAAATTAGCTGGCTAAAAAGTCTAGTTAGATTTTCTAAGTTGGTAAAGGGCTTATATTATCATGGAGACTTGTGGAGACTTGTGAAATAAGGAGAACAATATTTAGTAGCACTGTGAAAATCCCAACCGCTCACTACTTGAACCTGACCTTATAATGTTAAAAACACGCTCTAAGACAAATTCTAGAT